AGAGTGCCCCACCGCTTGAAAGATCTTCTTTGTCAAGTTTGGGGTTTTACTAGCGAAATTTTGTGGCTGGACGAAACATTTTTACATCGTCTGTCACTACATGGCTCAACCCTCAAAGTTACCACGATTCTGAACGGCAGTCGAATGCACGGCGCAATCGAAAAAGCAAATAACACCGATTGACGCGAGCGCTTCATATCTCCGATCCTGCATGTAAAAGCGCAAGTGAATGTTTAAAAAAGATAAGAGCAGAATTTGAAAAAGTTAAGCCTCTTTTTCACTTGGTAGCTAGTGAGGTGAGAACGATAATCACTCTGAGTAAAACAAAAACTCGTTAATGGATCTCACCTGTGGCGAATTTTCCTTCACATTTGCGTAGTAGATCGGTAGCATTGGCACTGGACGATGATCATTTCTATCCAGTACTCGAACAAACACATGCAGCACCCCCGTCTTTGCCACACGGGCCTGTGGACTGTCACTGGCTTCGATGGTCAACCAATAGGCACTTTGCTCCTCACGATCCAAAACTCTTGACGTTCGTATAGTACCTAAAAGACCATCTTCAGATTACGGTAGATTACGGTCATCGACCTCAAGGTAAATGCTACAACTCTTAACCTTACGCCTTTGATCACATTGACAAAACGAGTTCTTACATTTACAATTGCCTCAACGACAATTCTGTCGCCTTTCGATCATGACCCCTGATTTATGGTCCCTTTGAGGCGGGTGTATATGGAAATGATGATGATTCCTCGTCATCTCCCGATCATTATTCGCCAGTCACAAGGCATGATTAATTAGCTCGTTGTAGCGCGGCTGGTCTACTGAGCAGCATCAGCAAATAGCAAGACGACACATTAACAGATCCGTTGATGCGGACAGAATCCGCGACACACTAATGGCTCAATCTTCCGAGAAGCGTCACAATTTCATCAACCCTACTTTCAAATCCCTTTCCGGACGGACAGCTCCTATGGAACTGATTATCTCACTCAGGGGGATAAACAACGACATCAGAGGAAGAACCGGAGTGCATGCGGAAATTGACCTTCTCACAAATAATCCCAAAAATAGAAGAGAACATGCAAAAACTGTGAGAAAAATGCGCTTGTAAGAGGTCCTGTGCTTCTCTTCCGAATCCCACACCTTCGTGGTAAAACCCCTATCTCAGGCGCAGCACCTGTGCGCAGACGTGCTGCTCAAGAGTTCTACCGTACAGTAGTTAAGCTCAGTGGGAGCTCTGTGAGTTCTCCGAGGCTCATGTCCGAGGCTCATGTAGCGCAATAATCTTCTTAATGACTGATATACTGTCCTCAAACACACGCGAGTGTCTTCTTAACCTGTGTCATCCAATAGGCAACAGCAGCTGTGAAGACGCATTTAGCCCCTGACTTATCACCAGGCCTTCTAACCGAGAATCCCAATAAAAATCGAACTCCAATGGAAACTGGATCTCAATAGATATCTTCTGGAAACAATTCACACTGATTTTATAGTCGCTTTCCACAAATTCAGACAGCGCAAAATTCGAAAAAGCGATTTCCATTCACCTCATCGCCATCTTTACAGTTGCTAGTATCCCTACTCGAATACCTACCTATGCACCAGGTTTACTTTTTCAAACGAACCCCTTCAAATGAACAACCCTTCTCGCTCCTCGGTCTCAAAATGTCCCACATTTAGTCAAGGCCCGTTAGCCCAGCGTTCTTAATCCAGCTCTCAATGTTGTTGTGTAAATGTCCTAATCCTTTCTAAGACGGTAATTATCTATTTGGCCAACACTCCATCTCGCCACCATCAAAGTTCAAACAAAGCCTGCATACCAAACAGTCGAACCTTTTTCCTCTAGAACTAACCTTCAATCTGACAAATTCTTCGTACTCAAAGCGATTTTCTGTCATCTGGCTGCCGAGCGAGCTCTCTCCACTAAGCACTTCGCACGCCTGCTCATCTTCACATTAAGCATACTTCTGAAACAACATCAAACAACAACCACTCAGCCAACACCCAATTAAGCCGTCGGGCATTCGATTACTTATGATCAACGACACACGTTTCCAAGCGAATGAAAAGTCGTTCCACCAGTCGACAATGGGGACGAACCCAAACAAAGTCGTATAACGGAGCCTTCCAAACCGTCAAAACCGAAACGATGTGGCTATTTGCTTCAAAAAGTCTTTGCAGATTACCAAATTCTCATGCCCATAAAAACTTATTTGATAAGCAGCCTTTCGAAATGAAACTTGCTAAACTTGATAGTCCAAAAATCTGATTCCCAATTATAAAGAACCATTAACACTTTTGAAAAATTTCCTAAAGCAAAAATGACAGCACATTCTTTACACTGCTCTTTCTCTGCAATTAGCCTGCCCCGACCCGTATGGGCCAATCCCCGAACTAGCAAACATATCTCTGACCGCTTTTTTGAAGAATCGGCACTGTTGACCCCACCATCGCTAGCCATCGCTCCACAGACAAAGGCCTCAATTATCGTTCACCGATCACACTTGACTGAACATAGAGGTCTGTGATTTGAATGCCGACGTAAAACTCAGTGACAAGCCGACAGCAGTGCACCTCGAGGATAAACTAGAAGCTCCTGCATTTCACTTTATCTGAAAGCTTGACGGATCTGGGAAGAAGAAAAACTCAAGCAAACTGCCCTCTTTTCGATAGTCCACGGGAAAAACGACGCTCTTGCTGGCTTTGGAAACAATGGCATGGGGACAATGATGGGAGAATTTTTCAATTTGATCTTACATGGACGGTGTGAAAAATTGACTGAATTCGTATGTGATATCATTTTTGCCTAGCCTTGATACAACAGCGATGTTCCTTTCCCACACCTATTAACCATTCACATTTCCTTGAAATAGATCCTTGGATAATATCTAGAAATTGCAAAGAGTAAGCCTCTAGAGAGCCTACGTAATGAAATCCGGTCAAAGCTTATCTCGGAACATCGCTTTCTAATGAGATTCCTACTGAATTCGTACACCAGTATTGACAAAAAACGCTGCAGCTGCTTGATCAGCTATTTTTCCACTCCCATCATCATAGAAAGAACCACACGTCTATGGACGGTGAGTAAACCAATGTGAGGGTTGCGATAGGGTACAACTACGGAGCCGCGGAGCTAAACAAGCGGAAGGAAGACATTTTGAAAGATCTTATTCGAAATTCAAGTTTTTCATGGGTTTACAGAAGGCAAAAAGCAGAGGAGTTTAATGTAGGGAATCATCGGCAGAATGTTTAAACTGCGAAGTACTTGACTCCCCAATATTCCTTATTTTGAAATGAAAACTATTTGGACCTGCAGCAGCTATCATAACTGGGGAAGTTTTCTGTTTCTCACGAATGAAAAAGGCTCAAAGACTCGGAAGAGGTTGGAAAGGAACCAATGAAGGATAGGGATAGGGTTTAATTTTCACATATCTACATGGATATCTGAGGTGAACAAGATGTCGACCAAGTTCATTGGTACCAAAATGTTCAACAACAATGAGAAACCAAAACAATAAATTCAAGAAATAAGATAGAAAAAAAAACGGAAAAAACTGATTTTCGAGCGTCCTGGTGTGCCGGAATACTTATGTGGAAAGCGGCAGCCTAAGAAAGATAGTAGAGTTCTTATGAAAGCAAAGCCTATGATAAGGTTGTAGCGCATGCTTCTACACACTGCTTCTTAAATAGCGCGACGGGATACCGCCATTAGTTGGTTTCATTCACTTAATTACTGTTTTTGAATTATTACATAAGTAGCTTTTTAATTTCTTTGTTTCTAAAGCTCATTCTTAAATAGAACACCAGCAATAGGTTTTCCGAGCGACATGATAGTTTATTCATCCCGCAAATATTGTCCCCTTTTTCCCCAACTATTCCCATTCATGCTATTCCCATTCTCCCACAATATTTGATCATTTCCGCTATTGGACACCGCGCTTTCCGCCGTTTGAGTGTTTTCGCGTCCTAACCCAATAATACTGGTCAGTAATTTATACCCAATTCACTCTCCCCCGCTAACAAACCCCTTCTTGGCCGCCTTCATGAACAAAAATTGAAAATCGGCTTATACACTATCATCCAAACCCTACCAGTTTCTTCAAACACCGAAATATAAACGGCTTCTAGACAATTGAACTTTGAAATTGCAGTCAATACTGCCACGTTCCGCGTAACATCCCAACCAGACCCCATTCCTGAAAAGAGAAGCCAAAAAAGGAAGGGGACGTAGTTAAAAAGATTACGGTAGTAGAGTCAGTGAAAGAGGAAGATGTGGTTGGGTTACCCATTTGAAGCTTGTGCAACATCGTCATTAATGATGACAACAAAACTCCTTTGAAAGCGCTTGAAGCTATAGCCATAAGTGTGTAACCCACGTAATTCACAGAATAACTTCAATGCTAGAATTTTCATTTTTTGCCCCCTCCTTCCCGTCCAATGACAACTTCCGATCGAAATTCTACGAAAGATAACCGCAGCGCCGAATTCCAATTCCCTGGTTTCAAATCAAAACGTCTCATCTCCTCAAGGAAGCCAGACTTCATCAGTCATGGACTTCGGACGACGGCCATTCATAAATGTTCGGAGAATTGCACCATTCTAGGTCGACTATTAATGGGTTCCGTGGTTGGCATCCAGCTTCAAGTAATCCCAACGGAATAGCTAGCTTGTGCCAGCTGCCCAAGTGCATAGACAAACAAGTAGCTGCTCAAATATTCAGCGAGAAAAAACTCTGGTCAGTTCTTTGCCCTATGAAAAGCACTCGCCAGAGTACCCGCTGGCAATCTATTCAGCTCATTTTACGCCTAGAAATAAATAAAAAATTAGATGGCAAATGAAAAGGATAAGCCAACAAGGAAGGTTTCTGCTTTCACATCAACCTATAAGTGTAGGACTAACATCAAAAGACTTTTTTAGGAAGGACATTAGAAGGTCGTCTGACCTCCAAAGCGACCGTTCTGGCCTAAGTGTGATAAAGCACCTCTACCTACTTTATATTTTACCTTATTACATTGCAAAACCAATTGTAATTAATAAAATTAATTATCAGTGAATCACCTGAGCTGTCTATTGCAAAAAATGCCATGCCATTTCCTCCAACAATATTGTAATCGAGCAAAGCCGTCGGACTATCCTGATCCGTCGCTTTTACCGATAAGACGTCCGTACCAATAGGCATGTTTTCTGGAATTTACAGAATTCAGGCAATTTCACTGATTTTTTAATTTCTATCCAGATATGGAAATCGCTGACCATAAACGCTAGCTTCCAATGCGATGTCGTCAAACTCAGGAGGGTGTAGATTCTCGTCCACATCTTCCAGCTCAATCACCATCGAGCAGGTGGTGCTCAAGACCGTTTCACCATTATCACCGACCTAGAATCTCACTAATTCGAAACAATTTTTTATACAAAACTCAAAGAAAGTTTGGCAAGGCAAAAATCAACTGGTGACGCGCAATAACTTCTCTTGAAATGTTGATGTGCCAAGAAGTCTTTCTGTTTTTAGGTCCTTCGGGAAAAACTCGTTGATTACTGCATTTCAAAGCAGTGATCACTTTGGAATCCTACTATATTTCGACTTTCTATTGCCCTTAGGGTAATCCTTTTATATATTATTTTTTGGAAATACCCATCTTTCCCAATACCAGATTTCAAACAAGGACGCATATACTTTCTCACCCTATGCATGGTGTAGAGAAGTTGAAGCCATTGCTACCCATTTTTTACTTCCGATTTGTTTTGAGATTGACGTCTAGTCTGCATTTATTGTTTTTCTCTATTATGTGTGCTCTAAACATAACAAATACCTCCCCCCCTCCCCCCCCCCCCCCACGCCAAAAAAAAACACATTTCTAAAATTAAAAAAGAAGTAGTACCAAGGGCCAGAACGAAGTCAACGGGCCATTTTTCAACGATAAAAACGAGACAAGGATACCCAAACCCTTTCCCTCCACTCAACATCCATGTCCTTCTCTAATCTAACGTCACAGCTAACCATAGTGATCCTCGCCGAATGGCCTCATTTATCTCGTAAAGCATACCATTAGCATTCGGCGAGCTCAAGAACACCTACCTCCACCGAAATGGACTTCAATTCAGAGAACCCCTAATTTCAAGAAGCTCACATCGATTGTCAAGTTGTACACAGGTCTTCGTTGGAAATCAAGCGGTTGATGCGGCGAATGGATGAACACACAACCGGTACGATGGTCGATCTTGAATGGGGGAGCAATGCCGTTCTCTTTTCAGCATTCGGAATTTGAAAATCGTAAGCGTGCATTCTGTCCCACGTCTGGATCAGACGCAGCCAAGCATCCAACCATTGCGCCATCCGGATAATCTTCAGGGATTCGTACCTGGAAAATCGAAAAATATTGACTTCTAGTTGTGAAAGAAATATTTCCATGAGCAAAAACTATGATCAAAGGGTACTCAATTTCCATAGGTACTTAAAAATCGACCTTTTCAAAGCTTCCAAAATGAAAAGCGCTTGGAAATGTTTAACTGAGTCAATCGCTCTGGCGGGGCAGAAGCACTTGGAAATGTTTAACTAGACAATCACTCTGACGGGGCAGAAGCGGTATAGTGGCAATTGGCGCTGCTTATCACACGTGCTGTTCGAGGATCAAATCCTGGGTCGTGCATCGTTTGGGCGAACCAAGCCTTCCATCCATACGGGGTCAGTTAATTAGTAATAGACTTGCTTGAGAGGATAATAATACTGACTTCTACATTGGCTGGCCCCGCATTATACTGTATAGGTCAAACCGCATTCACACGGCGCTACGATTCTGAGTAGAAGTAAAGTGCGTGGCGCATCCCAAAACGATCAACGCCGCATGATTTATACTTTTATTTTCAAAATCCGAACCTAGTGTGATAACATTGAGCTCCTAACAAAAGAGGAAGGATTATGCCCTGAACAACCAAAACTACCTATCTCCGTGTCTTCCCCATCAGCTTGACTTGTATGTGTCACTTTGTTCTAAAAAACCCTGGTCGGCAGGTCTGTCGTGTTGCCCAAGCATAACACTGACTGGATGAAAGCAGCAGATCGAAAGTCACTTCAGCTACCTCATTCTGGTAGACATAAAGCATATATGTAGAAGAGTAAAAATAACTCGTTTCTCAGGACAACGCCATTACTTACCGTAGTCACCGGCTCAACACAGAACGGCGCATTATCGTTGACATCGTCCACCTCGATCGTCAGATTTACGGCCGAGATTTGTGACGGCGAACCGTGGATCAAATGCGATCACCGCATAGCCTGCAAACATTCTCATGAGTAAGGAGATGTTCTTCTGATACATTCAATTTCAGCTTCAAAAAAGTAAAGGATTTTTGAAAAAAAAAACCCACCGAAGGACATCATTCGCCTCACGATCAAGCGGACGAGCTAGAGCGTGAGCTCACCGCTGCGCTCATCTACTCGCACATAGTCTCCATGTCCTCCAGCTAACCGATATCAACTCTTCCATTCTCGTTCCGTTCATCAAGCGGGTCGCTGTCAGCTCGGGAGAGCCGTACCTACTTTGGTGTCCTCGCTGACCCGTATGCGATACCAATGCTAAAATTGGACATTTGAATGATTTTATGAAAATCTAGTTGGATGGTGTCACTGGATTCTGCGTCTGCGGCTCCAACGATAAGGATCAAGATAGAGGTGTTGATAAGGTTAGGCGGAAAGAGCCTAGGCTACTTTGAATGAACATGCTGTCAAAATTCATACACTTACAGCCAGAAATATCCTGAGCCTTATATTGATGCTTAGGGCCGCGGAGCAGGAATGGGATGGCCCCCTTCACCTCTATTTCTTCCTGATTTTTCAATTGTTGAGAAATTCAGAGGCTTCACTCGGAGCGTATTTTTCCTATTATTGAATCTGTTGCAAGTTTGTGCATATGACAAGTCAGAAAACTTCCAAGACTGGAAGAAGGGTCTCCGAAAAATAAAATGCAGAACCACCTTCAGAATAGAATGCGTGCATGAAGTCTTAAAAGGGGGCCATCGATGATAGGGAATGAAGCGTTTCATTCCTTCAATTTTACACTTAAACCTTTCTTTGTTTTGATCTCTTCTTGCGCTGCTAGTCATCTGCGGCAGTCAGCGACCTAACCTACCCTTTTCGTAAGTCGGCACATGCTCTACACGTACGCGTCCTCTGTACCGGCATTTTATCGACCACCTCCATCCTCATTTTAGCCATTGTACATCTACTTATCAACACTTGTGATATGCATTCCCTCTATGGGAACTTTCCGTCGAGCGCGCTCCATTCTGTGACTCAAGTCCCAGCACCATCCAGTCCTGGAGGGATATTTTATGCACAGAGTCAGGTGGAAAAAACTACGGTCACAAAACATCGCACCATTCCCAGGAGTGACCCAGTCCAACCCAAATTCAATAGACATTCGTTATTCAACAAGTGACATCCTTTTCCCACACTTATTCCCTTCCCTCCCCAGGACACCAGTCCCTACTCGAGTTACGCGAATGCACTTGAATGTCTTAGGGAATCGGCGAGAAGATTCATTGTGGCTGCATTATCTGACGAGAAATCGCCTAATCCGTTCCCACTAGCATCGTGCATCAAATCAGCGTAGCTCTTGACCGCCGCCGCCACAGCCAACGGCGGTGACCACTACGACGAACGCTCTTCTTTCAATGGAAATGCTGATGAGCCTTGCAAACACTTCTCATTAATAACGCCATTCGCAGCTCAGCTGACGCACATTTCTGAGACAAATTTGAGACCATCTCCACTGACCATCAATGCCTTTGATGGAACCTGAGGGAAACTCCAACAGTACTCGAGCCGGTATCCATTGCAAGACATGATGCTCATCCCCTGCTAAATCCAAACTTCCCAGATTCAAGTTCAAAAAGCAGATAACCTACTTCATCCGACCTCGAGGAAGCGAGAATATTCTCTAGCTTCCCTATCCCTCCTCCTTTCGCTCCTCTACCCATACAGCCTGCTAAACCCTCGGGAATCCAAGCTTCATGATCGGCACTGCATCAATCAACGTCTGACTCGGGTTTTTTTCTGCCTATGTTGTTCTTCAGTTGATTCGAATTCATCACCGTCAAGAACTCCGCTCGCAAAGACACTAGCAATAGTCCCTTGATGGATGGCAGGCTTCCGTCTGGATTACTACAGGTCTACCACCTCTTCAATGAGACGAAAGAACTACAAAGTATAGCTCCTACGTCACAAAAACAGAGCAGCGAATTCAACAGGGGAAATAAAAACCATCTCAAAGTCACGTGCTTCTTAAATCGAATAAGCGTGAAAACCACCGAAAGAGCGATCTTCACACGAAAAAATTATTTCCGAGCAAGAAAGGTTCCACTAAAGACTTAAATGAAGGCCAGTAACCTAAGAAGAGTAAAAAAAACCCTGATTCCACATTCCACCTCCTGCCAAAAATTTCCCATAATACCTTACCCAGTAGATAGCGCGACCGGATACCTGAGACTCTCGACCTCTCCGGACATGTCCATTGAGCCAATCCATTAGCTAATTACGCTCAAGGAGAGGTGAAGAGCGTACTTACCACTTATTGGTCATGTGGAAGAGTACGAGGAAGATTAGCAGCATGGACAAGTACTAATGGAGGAAAATGACAAAAAGCAAGGAGAGAAACGATTATGAAAAATGATAAATGGAATGGAATAAAATGGAATGAAATAAAATAAAATGGAAAATGGAATGAAATGGATAAATGGAAATGATATCCAGTCATATCTAAGATTTCAGGCGATTTATTTCCTCTACCAGCCTCATACAGCTCCTTTATTCACCCATTCACTCTTGAAAATTCCATCAGGAAATTTAAACGACTTTATAGACCAACGAATGCAACGAACGAACCTCTTCAAACTGAGGGGCATTGTTATTGACGTCTCTGATTACGATTTTGATAGTCGTTTTTGAGCTTTTACTAGGTGATCCTTCATCGGAAGCCCAAACTTCCAAGTTGTGAGGCACCGATGCTGCACCGGGTGGTAGTAGCTCACTGAGATCGCCGGCTACTCTTATAACTCCAGTATTAGAGTCGATAGAGAAGTAGTCGTCCCACAACGAATAACGAACCAGACCACCGTAGCCAACGTCCGAATCCGTGGCCGAAATGGCTGAGATTGCCTAAAAATAAAGCTTGCTGTGTTGTTGCATACCTTAATAAACATCTGAGGCATACGGATGGGGATGGATGAATGGAGGCTTCCGTATTCATGGAGCCATCACATCTAATCATTAGATCTTTCCAATAGTGAACATGATCCTACGATGCGATTTTGCTAATGGAAAACCCCCTCTAGGCAGGATTCTATGGACTAATTCACTCTGGGCTCAAATTAGTGGATTAATCCAGTTGAGCGCTGTTTACAAGGGCTCTCGCCAGAAGCACACCGAATGAGTTGCAGTCAAATTTTTCTTTGAACTTCCTATTATAGCGTACATATTTATGGCATGTGATGGACCGCTGTGACATTTTTTTCATCTTTGAACTTTTCGTATCCTCAAAATTTCCTTCTGAAGCAAACTTCAAACTGCGAGGCCCTTTTTATTTCAAATACGTAGTTGTAGTTTTATTACAAATACGTAGTAATAGTTGGAACCTCTTCGTGCGCTCAGCCAACCTTCTCCCGAAGGAGCCATGTACATTCATGATTTCAATGATTTCGGCGCAGATCTGGCCTATACAATAACTTGTCGGCCAGATGATGCACGCACCACTATTGTCTTCCCGTGTTAGCTCGGTACTGAACAGCCCAATCCGGAAATGAACGTTTTGGTCAGTGTGACAATATTAACCCATTCGTGACAATGGCAGCCACCGGTGGCTGACAAAGATCTCACTCGGTACAATGGTATCCACCGGTGGCTGCCGTGTTTCAAATGGAATTTGGAAAGTTTTCTTTCCTGAAAAGAATCTTCATACCCTCATTCATCTACGCCAGCCTTGGGCAGGGAAATCTCCATCCACTCAAATTTTATTGAAGAAAAATCTCCTGACTCTCCTGCTAATGCGCAAACCGGCGCGGTCGCGAATGGGTTAAACGCGCAAATTGGTCGCGTAGAGTACCATTCGACATCCACTACTTGCCATTCGCCCACATTTGTCAAATTTTAAGATAGTCCACCAAAACCTGGAGTCCATCGAGAGCATCCACCCATTCGCTTACTCCTATCAGTTTATTTCCTCTTCCCAGCTTTCCGACTATCAGCATTTGTGGAATTTAACACAACGACAAAATTCGGCAAAATTCATATGGAATTACAAAGAAACAGTATAAACAATCTGACCCGATAAGGCCTTGTTTAATTAGAAAAATCGGCGTTGTTACCAGTTATGAAGAGCCAGAAAAAATCCAACAAAGTTCTTTCATCACTTCGTGACCCCAATTCACTCTTTCCTCCCTTCCAAGTACCGCCAGCTGACTAGTCGGACTTCGTCCATGCTCCAATTCTCATCCCATTCAGAAATCATCTCAACATCCCCACACAATCGCAACACTTTCTCGATGGTTACTTGACCCAGTGGCATCTTTGTGCGTGAACGCAATAAAACACGACGGGCTGCACTGCTTGTTACTATGCCACTTACCATCTGTCGTTCCTATCCAACAATACCGTATGCCCAGGTCACAGTTGGCTGGCCGCTGTTTTGGGCAGCGCATTACGCAAGGAAACTCACCGTTCCGATAGCGACATCCTCTTCAATCTCCACAGGTCATGAAATCCTCGAACACCGGTCGTGTTTGTTACTCGGGTCGGCTCAATGACTGCGTTTGGTTTTGCTTGGTACCGAACAGTTAGAACCTGGTCAGTCTGCTCACCTTGAGATCAATCTCACGTTCTTTGACAGTCTCAAACTGTGCCTATGAATTCAATGCAGATGATTAGCGGCGGACAACCGTCTTTTAGGATGAGGATTTCCAGGAAAATAGCGCGAAAACAAAAAAACGAGCATGATCACGTTGGCCCCTTTTCTGCGCTTTCGACTCCCACTCATTCAAAGAGCCAGAACAACCATACAGGAATTCTGTTTCTATTTTCTCATCATATAAAATATAATTTCGATCATCTAGTCATAATCCTTTCCCTCAAATGTGAAGCAGGTTCTTCTGTGGCTGCCCCAGCGTCGGAAAGTAGGAAAACATTCCAAAAATTACAATCCAGGAAAAAAATTGCAATAGCTTTGTCTCACCTTCGTTCCGTTCCGATAAAAAACTAGATTTAACACCGTCGATCTTGGTAAAGGTCGCCCAGCATCCACTGCCCATACAGCCACACTCCATTCATTATCGCCCGCTTTCAAAGGAGCCGACAATGAGATCTACAACAAAATGACCACTAATTGATGAGTTACGAAAAGAATGGACACAAAAAACTTCAATGACACATCCCATCCCACACGAGCGAGCGAATTACCTCTCCAGTTTCAAAGTTGACAGCAAACGGCACTTGAGAATCCGACGATAATTTATAGCCTATGCGCGCATTCTCGCCGGAATCCAAATCGACGGCGTCAACCTGAAGTACGACCATTCGGCAAATAGGTCATCTCTCACAAATAGCAAGACCTTTCAAAACGTATAACAGAAGAATGAGTTACCTTCAGAAGAACTGTGCCAACGGTAGTACCATTAGGGACGACAACCACTGGGCCTTGGCGACTCCACTTGGCAGCCCAAACCGGTGAATGGTCATTCGAATCTTTTATGGATACTGTCACAACTATGGAGCTCTGACCACCAAAAGCCAGCAAGCTGAACAGGTAACATCTCACGTAACGTAGCTTGGTTCATTTCAAAACACAAATGTAAGGGTGCCAAGGCTGGGTATAAAAAACTGAGCTATAAAATTTAAGAAAAAAGTGAAGGCAGAAATGAAAAGAAACCAACCTTTCCTAGTATATTGAAGCTATATTCCCTTTGTTTTTCATAATCTAGTAGCTGGGCCACCCGTAACACTCCAGTCTTCTCGGACACTTCAAAGGGCACCGTCGCATTATCTCTCATTTCCAAATAGTACCTAGAAATCGCAAATTTCAACCACTGAAAGATATCGCTGGAGAAGAATATTAGATAGGAAAAGGATGTAGAAGATAAGGAACCTAATATTTTTCTCATCCTGTTTGTACAATGCGCTAGCCGACACTTTTCCGATCACGTAACCAAGCGGAGCGGATTCATTCACGTGGAACGTGGCTGCTGCATCGTCAAATACAATCGAATGCGGCTCACCAACTTCGATCTTAAGCATCATTCACTAGCCAAAAAGTCACAGTAAACATAACACTCGACCACGGCAAACTCTAGTCACCTTGATATTCGCCGTCGTGTTGACCATGCCACTTGAGATCGACTCTTGTCCAGCCGATATAGTGACGTTTGTTTTGGATGGGATGAAACGACCCGGTACCTGTTAATCGATAGGGTAATATCTAACAAAAGCAATCGTGCAATTCCTAACGAACTGAAAACTGCAAGAACATTGAGAAAAAATATTCGAGCACTCCAGTTTACGTAAATTTAAAACGGCTAATTCTAAAATAAAAGAGCCTACATGCGCTGATCTCATAGCCTAACAAAGAGTAGAAGTCTTAAATAAAACGATTCCAAAAGACAAGTAACTCGTTTTATTGGTGCGATGAAAGGGTGATTTCAAAATTCAGCGCCTTTCACAATATACATCCGGAAATCGGAACACACCTTCCGGTATCATTTTTATCGACGCCAAAGCTCAAAGGCAACGAAAAAATAAGTCAAAGAAAAGAGGATTATCAAGAATGAACCTTACTCACTTTGAGGAGGCGATCTACCCAAATGTCAGCCAAAAAATGCTATTGAAGAACCCCCCTGAGA